TAGGTTAACTAATCAAATCAATGCTACCCCACTACCACTGTTTGCTGTCAACTACCAGCTGTTCATCCCTATGATTCCCCAGGCACTCCCTTACCTGGCTACCACTCCCTCCTATATGCCACTTCTCTGCCCACCTTTGATTCTGATTCTCTAGCTATTCTCCCCATGCCTAGCCACCTTCTCCCTCAGGAGCATCCCTCCACCCCAGAAGCCCCCTTCTCCCCTTGGTGAGTTTCTTCCCAGATCTTGCATTTTTTTTGGGGGGGGGTGAGGCAATTGGGGTTAAGTGACTTGCCCAGGGTCACACAGCTAGTAAGTGTCAAGTGTCTGGTCTGAGGTCAGATTTGAACTCAGATCCTCCTGACTCCAGGCCCAGTGCTCTATCCACTGTGCCACCTAGCTGCCCCTCAGATCTTGCATTTTGAAGAAGGGCCCAGATCAACTATCCTTCAGTCCTCTCCTGGTTCTGCTTCTCACTCTCTAGACTTCACACCATTTGCCTAGCACAGGTGCCTTCCCTCCTCACCACTCTTTTCATCTCCCCTTTTTGTGTTCTCTTCCCCAGTAGAACATAAGCTCCTTGAAGGCAGGGCAAGGACCATCTTTTTTGGGGGGGAGGGAGGGGACCTCGTATTTGTATCCCCGGCACTTAGCGAAGTGCCTGGCACATATAAACACTCAATAATTGCTTTTACTCAGTCTCCCATCACACCTTTTCCCTTGTTAATGGCATGATTAGAATTTAGAGCTGCAAGGGACTCAGAAATAATTTTAAAGCTTTTAGTAACAACTTTCACATTTGCCCTAAGAGAAGGAGCTTCCCCAAGACTGCACAGAAAGGAAATAGTAGAGTCAGGATTCAAATCCATATCTCTAAACTCAACACAATGCCTTCTACTCCATTAGAAAGTTTCCCTTATGATTCAGGATGGATGGATGGATAAATGGATGAGTGAGTAAATGAATGAATGAAGCTGGTCATTTGGACTATAGCGTTAGAAAAAGTTGGTAGCAGAATTTTCTTAACCTAATCTGTATAGCTTCACACTGACCTCAGAGGCTTTGGGTTGAGAAAGGCTATTTCCGGGAACAAGACAGGCCCTAATTATTAAGCATGTAGCGATGTCAGATGTACTTTGTGAAACATTCTTTCTTTGTTGAATCTGAACAGCTTTATTTGGAGCAGTTGTGATTTTTAGCTGTCAAGTGAGACTGTTTAAGGTTTTTTGTTTTTGTTTTTTCTAGTTTTTACACAGGTATATTTACTGATAGCCTCTGCCCTCAGGAAGCTTACATTTGAATAAATATTAATAATAGCGAATATTTATATAGCACTTGCTATGTGCCAAGCACTGAGCTAAACACTTTATTTCTTCTCATTTGATCCTCACAACAATCCTGGGAGGTAAGTACTCCCAGGATAAGTATTATCTCCATTTTATAGTAGGAAACTGAGGCAGATAGAGGTTAAATTACTTGCCCACTGCTAATGTGTCTGAATTCAGATTTTCCTGACTCTAGGCCCAGCACTCTATCTACTGCCCCACCTAGGTGCCTTAATAAGCACACATACACACACACATACTAAAAAATTTAAAAAAAAAGAGGGAGGTGGGGAGGAAGGAAAGTAGATGTGGTAGAGAAAGCTGTCTGGAGAGTCAGGAGCCAAGCTGGGAGATGAGTGAAGGTGGGTTCAGACACTTCCTTGAAATGGAGTTTCTGGAAGGAAATTTACCCAACAAGTCCACATCTGAATGTGGCACAGCGGCTGGACCATTCACTCTCTTCTTAACTAGTAAAGATTCTGAGCTCCTAGAATATGAATAATCCTCCGACCTTTCAAAGCTCACAAAGTCACAGTCGTCCAATTTTGTTCACTTAAAGAACAGGAATGAACAAACACAAGGAGACTAGGAACAGCAGCCTACATAGCCCACCCTACCTGGGGAGGGCCCAAGACCTCTCCCCACGTAAAGGTTTCCATTATGTCTTCCTCACTCAAAAGGCAAGGGAAGAAGTAAATGGCCCCCACAGGAGTCTTTTGTCTGCCTCTTATTTCCAGTTCAACAACCAACTAAAAAGGCCCCTCTTCAGGAAATAGACTATGAAGAGGGTATCTGTTCATGCTCTGAATCAGGGAGCAAAAAAAAATACATATACTATTTCTGCCAGGAACAATCTTATTTAACGTGAATCTATGTCCAAACCATTTCTAGCTAGGAGAGACGTCTGAACTGAGATTGCCCTGAATGCTCTGTGATGTGACTCTCTGCCCCCAAATTATTTGAGATAAGATTAGTAGGAACCTTGAAGAAGGAAAAGATCACAATGTGAAAACATAGAATTTGAGTTAATATTCCAGAGCTGCCTAGTAACCAAATCCCACTGTCCATCCCATTTCTTCCTGGATTACCCTAGAAGTTACAATAAAGGAATCTCCTCCTTCTTATTGGATGTTTTAATCCTTTCTCAATGGAAAAGGGATAGGTCCTAGAAACAATCTATCTCTGTCAGTAATCTGGACATGTTTTCTCATCTGCAAAAAGAGGTGGTCAGAACAGATTGTGTCTGAGGTTCCTTTTAGCTCTAAAGCTACGACCTCTAAGGTTCCTACCAGTTTTAAATTTTAAACATCTTTAAACTACCAAGAGAAGCCAGGGAAAGCTTTGGGAGACACACCTTAAAAGTACCCCACCTATGCACACTGGGCTTAAGTAAGTAGTAGCTTTCATAGGATGGTCAAGATTAGGTCTTTTCAGTACATGTATAGTCTACATCAGATTGCTTGCTGTCTTGGGGACGGGTGAGGGAAGGGAGGGAGAAAAAAACTTGGAACTTAAAATCTTATAAAAGTGAATGTTGAAAACTAAAAAATAAAATATGAAAAAAAAATTAGGTCCTTTTCTCCTACAGAGATTGTGCCAGGACTGATTTTTTTTTTTAATCTTTCTTCAATCCCCAGCACATGGGAAGGCATGCACTCAACCAGAAGTAAGAGTGAGATAGGAAGAAAAAAGAGGAAGGTGGGGAGGGGGAAGGTGGAATGGTAGAGAAAGATGTCTGGAGAGTCAGGAGTAAAGTCAGGCAATAAGTAAAGTTGGGCTTAGGCACTTCCTTGAAATGGAGGTTCGGGGAGAAATTCACCCCCCGAGTCCACATCTGAATGGGGCACAGTGGCTGGACTGCTGGACGTTTCACTCGTCTTGTCTGCTAAAGATTCCAGCATTTGTAATGTGGTTACCACCAACAACTAGCACAGTGGACAGACGCCACTCTAAGTAGAGTCAAAAAAGACTGTGCTGACACTGTGACCCTCGGCAAATCTCTTAATCTTTGAGTCATTGGGCCAAAAAACATCTGAGGCAGGAAATGAATCAAAATCATCCTAACTCCAAATCCCACCCTTTCTATAAACAACTGCACCATCACCACTATTAGGAGCAACAGCCATTAATACCATGGACAGAGTCTTGGTGCTTCAGACCCAAGAGTGTGAGAGCAAGAGTCTGAACAACCAGTGCCTTGGGTAGCTGACTACAGCTGTGAGTACCAGGGAAGGCAGCTGTGGTAGAGTGAGTAGACTATGACCTGGGTTCAAATCCTGCCTCATATTCTTATTAGGTGAGTAACCTGCTGCAGGGGCAGCTAGGTAGCACAAGGGATAGAGTGCTGGATCTGGAGTCAAGAAGACCTGAGTTCAAATGTGGCCTTAGACACTTACTAGCTGGGTGACCCTGGACAAGTCACTTAATCCTGCTTGCCTCAGTTTCTTCACCTGTAAAAATGAGCTGAAGGATAATGGCAAACCATACCACTATCTATGCCAAGAAAATCCCAAATGGAATAATGGAATCACAAAGAGTCAGACACAATTGGAAAAAAGACTGAACAACAAACCTGCAGCAAGTTGCTTTACTTTGGGACCAGTTTTCCTCTTTTCCTCTCGGTTCCTCAACCCCCTAGTTCTCTTCAAGACCACCACCTTAAAATGGCATTTCCTGATTCCCATAGTTATTAGAGCTTATTTTGTACATATGCTATAGTGACTTATTTGTGAACATGCTGCCCCCCCCCCAAGATCTTTGCGGGCAGGGACCATCTCATTTTGTATTTAGTCAATCAGTCAGCAAGCATTTATTAAGCATTTACTATGTGACAGGCTAAGCCTCAGGAATACAAAGAAAGACCAAAACATGATTCCTGGCCTCAAAGAGCTCCCATCCTAACAGAGAAGATAACAATGTGAATCACTAGGGAGTCAGAAAATAGAGAAAGTAGACAGGAAGTCATCTCAGAAGGAATGCACTGCCAGATGTAGAGACCAGGAAAGGCCTTCTGGCAGAAGGTGGCATTGACGAGCAGCCTTGAAGGAAGCCAGAGAAACAGAGGCAGAAAGAAGGATGGAGAGTATTCCAAGAATGGGGGACATCCAGTGTAAGGCACTGAAGTGGGAGGTGGGTGTTATGCCTTAGTGGCTAACTAGAAGGATAACAGACATAAATAGCACAAAATGCAAAGTGCTTCATATATAATATCCCTTCTGATCCTCATGATAACCCTATTAGGTAAGTGTTAAGACCCTTGTTATCCCCATTTTACAGATGGGAAAATGGAGCTGGAGCTCCATTTCGATATTTGAATCCCCAGTGCCTGATTCACTCCCTGACTCACAGTAAGCAGTTAATAAGTGCGTGTTGAATTAAATTGAGCCCTTGAAGACACAAAAGTCTCTTTTATTTGTCTGTGTCTTCCCTTTAGCACCCAACAAAAGGCCTTTTCAAATGGCAGCTGCTCAGGAAATGTATTAAAGAAAGAAAAACACTTCACACAATCTAGAAATCATAGAATAACCCAGTGAGGAAGAAATTGACTCCCCCCCAAAAAAAGTGACAAATAGAGAAGCACAATTTAATAAAATCATTTCTTTAAAAAAAAACAAAACACACATGTATTTTCCCTTTCCCAATGTTCTAGAAGTGGGCAACATTAAAAGAATGGACTAACAGCAGACTAGAGGCAGTTTATTTTGTGTTCCAAACATAGAAGGCTACCATGCTTTGGAATCCTCAAGTCAGTCCTTTATTTTAAGCATAAAATTTTCAAGTATTTCTGGCCCTGACATCCTCTATGTCAAGGACCATGATCCCGATGATTTCTATCTCCCCAGCTCCTATCTATCATTAGCAACTGGTCACAATAAGCAAGTCAATAAGCCAAGGATGTGTGACGATGTGTGTTGCAGAGGAATTTGCAAAGGTCCGCCGAGGTAAGATACGGAAATGGTGTGGCTCTGCTCCCCTGGTGACGTACGTCCTCTCAGTCAGAGTCATCCCCACCTCCGTCACTGCCTTTAAGACTACCAGTAGTCTATGAGAGAAGAGAAGAGTTTTGGATGAGTCAATGAGAGACGAAAAAATTGAGTGGTGAGCACTCCTGTGTATCACCTGGTAAACAGAAACCATATTGCATTTTCCAAACTTGAGATAAGACACAAATGAGCATCATTTGAGCAAGGCTCATTCAGAGAACCATGTTATCTCAAATCGGAATAAGACCTCAGGGGCCATCTAGCTGAATCTGCTCACACCCAAGGAAGAATCTCTTCGACAACATTTGCCCACAAGTGGTCACCCAGCCCCAGAAGAAAGACATCTAATTATGGGAAAGTCAGCCCACTGCACTTGTGGACAGCTGCTAACTCTAAGGGAGTCCTTCCAACCTCAGGTCCCTGAAATTTGCCTCTGTGGCTCTTACTCCTGCCTGCTGGGGCCACAGAGAACTGTTTTTGTTGTTGTTTTTAAAAACTTTGTAAGGTCTGAAAAATTCCAAACTTTACAAAAACCAAATAAAATAGAACAGAAAATGAGGTTTATACATGAAACTGTGCATCCCTATTATGTACAGCTTGCTTTCCTTTCTAAATATATGAATTCAGTCACGTTACTTTCAAAGCTGTCCACCTTGTCTGGGTTCCCTTCTGTTCTCTTCTTTAAAAAAAAAAAAAGTGGGGCAGTTAAGTGGCACAGCGAATAGAGCACCGGCCTTGGAGTCAGGAGGACCTGAGTTCAAATCTGGCCTCAGACACATAATGCTTACTAGCTGTGTGATCCAGAGCAAGTCACCTAACCCCATCGCCTAGCCAAAAAAAAAAAAAGTGCTTCAAGGAACCTCTTTCCTTTTTTTTTTTTTTTTTTTTGGCAACGCTACATCTCTCAGCTCACTTTCCCTCCTGCTCTATGTTGTGAAATTTAAAAAAAAAATAGAAGAAGAAAAGGGGGGAAAATGTATAGACAAAACAAATTCCCACACTGGTTGTGTCTGAAAATATTCATCTTATTCAAGCAAACCAAGTTCACATCAGCAGTGTTGAAAACTGCATAAAATGTCTTTCCTAAGCATTCTCCTCTCCATGGTAACATGGTAACATCTCTTCAACTGATCCTCATCTGGGATGGTATAATAATACACCGAACACAACAACAATAAAAATAACGACTAGCATTTTTATAGCACTGCTAAGATTTTTAAAGGTTTTTTTATATGTTAATTCACACTTAGTGCTCCCAACAACCCTGGGAGGTAGGTGCTATTATTATTTCCATTGTCAGATGAGGAAACCGAGGCAAACAGTGGTGAAGTAACTCTTCCGAGGTCACACAATTCCTAAGTGTCTGATTTGAACTCAGGAATTCCTGAACCCAGACCCAGTACTCTCACCACTCCACACCACTAGTGCTTTCATTATCTTCGCCATTCTCTTTGAGATCAAGTCTACCTCTGCCTTTCCTAAAATGTGTCCAAACTGAGATGTGGTCTGACCAGGGTGAAGTACAGTAGGACTGTCACTTCCATAATTCTGCAGCTGATGACTTGCCCTTAATGGACAGTGTCAGCTTTCGGAGCTGGCATGTCACACACACATTGTTCATTCACAATGACCTTAAAGTTCATTCAAAAACAAAAACCTCAAAACTTGAGCTCTTTTTCACAGCAATTGTTTTCTGAACATACTTCTTCCCTTATCCTGTACTTGGGAAGTTGAATTTTTTTGGGGGGGCGGGGCGCCAATCAGGGTTAAATGACTTGCCTAGGGTCACACAACTAGTGTCTGAGGCTGGATTTGAACTCGGATCCTCCTGACTCCAGGGCTGATGCTCTAATCAGCTGCCCCTGGAAAGTTGATTTTTTTGAACCCAAGTACAGGGCCTTACATTCATTCTTCTTAAATTTTGTCTTATATTAGCCTTTCAAGATCTTTCAGGAGCCTGACCTTGTTCATCCAGTGTGTTTAGTTATCCCCTCTCAGCTTCATACCAGCTATTAATCTGACAATTATGTCATCTGCGGCTTCTTCGAAGTCACTGATAAAAATGGTGAAGAGTACAAGGCTAGGTCCCTGGGACGCCCTCCTAGTGACTGCTCTTTGATTCAGGCCATTCTATGTACTACAAGATCTTCCTGATAGTATCACTGGTACTATGTATCAGAGGTGGGGAACCTGCAGCCTCGAGGCCACATGTGGCCTTCTAGGTCCTGGGGTGCGGCCTTCTGACCGAGTCCAAGTTTTGCAGAACAGACCCTTTTATTAAAAGGATCTGTTCCTTTTATTAAAAGGATCTGTTCTGTGAAGTTGGCTAGTTAACTCTAAGTTAACTAAGAAGTTAACTATAAGCTAGAAGTGATATGACTTACCTGAGGTCACACAGAAACATGGCACATAGTAGGCTCTTAATAGATATTGATTGATTGATTGATTTATTGGGGCAGAGCCAGGATTCACACTCAGGACTCCTAATTCCAAATTCAATTCTCTTTCCCTAAACCACTTTTTTTTCCTTATGTTTGGCAAGGAATGGAGCCACGAATTAAACAGTCAACAAGCAGAATTAAGCCCCTATTACATATAGAGGCAGTTAGGTGGTACAGTGGGTAAAGTACTGAGTGTAGAATCAGGAAGACCTGAATTCAAATCTAGTTTCAGACAATTATTAGCTCTGTAACCATGTATACGTCATTCAATCACTGTCTGACTCGTCCCCCAACTGTAAAATGGGGATAATAACAGCACCTACCTTGCAGGATTGTTTTAACAATCAAATGAGAAAATATTTGAAAAGCACTTCGCACAGTGCCTGGCATACAGTAAGTGCTTAATAAATGCTTATTTCATTCCATATACCAGACACTAGGGCTGCAAAGAAAAAAGCAAAGCAATCCCTGCCTTTGAGGAGTTTACATGGGGTGGGGATGGCATAGAAGTACCCACAAAGTGTTCATATAAAAGGACTTCTTGGGGGCAGCTAGGTGGCACAGTGGATAGAGCTCTGGCCTTGGAGTCAGGAGGACCTGAGTTCAAATTAGGCCTCAGACACTTGACACTTACTAGCTGTGTGACCTGGGCAAGTCATTTAACCCCAACTGCCTCACCAAGAAGCAAAACAAACAAACAAACAAAAAAAGGACTTCTTGAAGGGTACTCGATGTTTCAAGATACAGAGTTAAAAAGGGAGAGCATTCCAGGCATGGGGTACAACCTGTGCAAAGACATGGAGGTAAAAGATGGAAAGTTATGGATGGGGAACAGCAAGCAGGTCAAATGTGTGAAGGGTGTGAGAAATCAATATTTTTCTCCTGTATTTAATAACTAATTATTGTATTAGGACCAAGGTTTTCCCCCTTTTCTACTTCCTTATCCAGAAACCAACTAGTGTGGGAAATCTGATTGACCAACCAGGCCAAGATCTTAACAGACAGTAAAACATATTCTAAGTTTGGGCTAATGGGTGAATTCCTACTCATTGTGTTTGTTCAGACAGGTCTGGGGAAGTGCTGACTCTCCCTTCTATCTTAACAAGTGATATGGAAATTGATGTCTCTATTAACCAAGATTTTGGTGACACAAGTCAAGAACCCAAGACCCTACTTACTAGCTATGTGGCCCTGGCCAAGTCATTTGACCCAATTGCCTCACCAAAAAAAGCAAAAACAAACAAACAAACAAAAAAAACCCCAAGACCCTCATTTTAACATACAGACCCATCTCCAATTATAATATTCTTTCTTTCTTTCTTTCTTTCTTTCTTTCTTTCTTTCTTTCTTGTTTAGCCAATTGGGGTTAAGTGACTTGCCCAGGGTCACACAGCTAGTAAATGTCAAGTGTGTGGTCTGAGACCAGATTTGTACTCAGGTCCTCCCGACTTCAGGGCCAGTGCTCTATCCACTGCACCCCCTAGCTGCCCCAATATTCTTTCTTTTGTTGGCCAATCAGAGTTGATTTTCACCCTCAGGTGAACCCCTTTTTCAAAAGACTTCATAAATATCAAAGGTTCAAGAGGTTCCGTCTCTTTGGCTACCAAGAGGACACTGAGCCTTTTTTTTGTTGACTGCTTCCTAGACCCAGTCAATAAAACTGATCTTAATTTACCCAGAACCTTGGTCTTTCATAATTTTTTAATCGTCACAAGGGGCATAATGTGTCATCAGCTTGGAAAGACAGGCTGTAGCCAGCGTGAGCAGACATTTAAATGTCCAGCGAAAGAATCTGTAGACAATCAGCAGTCCCAGACGCTTCCTGAGCAAAAGTGACACGCAGGGGCGAGAAGTTTCAGGGAGCCTGGGGCCAAATTTAGTGCTCTCAAACTCACCAGGTTTCAGGAAGCCACAATCCCCCACCCCAAGAGTCATTTTCTGAAATTTGGGAATTAGCTTCCTCCTGGGGACTCCCCTGCCCTTCTTACCTTCGCGTCCCCGGCATCTGCTTTGGCCTCCAGAGAGCCAGCATCAAAGTCGTGGTTTGGAAGAGTGTTCAGCCAGTTCGTCATGGAGTGCTCCTCCATCTCCGTCTTGATGATGGTGGGGTAGATATACTGCTCTTTGAACACAGTCATCTTCTCCTCCTCTTCCACCCAGTCCAGGGGTTCATGCAGCCCATCGTTCCCGAAACGCCGATTGTACTGTTCGAAATGGACCCTCTCCAGGACGAGCCCGAGCCCTGGCGCTTTGGGGATGTCCACCTTCTCCTCTCCCCAGCTGCGCTCCATCACGGACTCGGGCACGTAGCCCTTCATGATGGCGATCACCAAGCCGATCATCTTCCTGATCTGGTGCATCATAAAGCTCTGGCCCTTGACCTTGATCACGGCAAACTCCATGCCTTCCCGCACAAAGGGCGCCTCGCAGTGCATCTCCATGATGTAGCGCCTGGCGCTTGGCTCCTTGGGGCCCTTCTGAGAGGTGAAGTTGTGAAAGTTGTGGGTCCCCTTGTAGCCAGCCAGGAGCTGGTTGACTTTCTCAAGGGTTTCCGGGCTCAGGCGGTACCTCTCGTCCTGGACGTCGTGGTCCTTGTGGGCGAAGGCGAAGGTCGGCAGCATGTAGAAATAGGTCCTTGCGTCGCATCTGTTCTTCGAATTAAAACTCCCGGTGACTCTCTTCAAACCTGGGGAGGAATAATGGGAATGAAAGAGGGTGGGCAAAGAAACACTGAAATGTTATAAATTGCAATTAGATTAGGAGTGGCGGCAGCTCTCATCTCCAGGCCTCTGCACTAGCTGTCCACCATGCCTAGAAGGCACAAAACTCAGAATCTCTCGGTCTTCCACAGGAAGCTTTTCCTGATCTCTCTAACTGCCTGCACCCTCCTTCCCAAACTATCTTGTATTGAACTCCTTTGTATGTGTGTCTATCTTTTTATTAATTTTATATTTAGGCTATCTGTAATTCTGTATGTGCTTGTTGTCTCCTCCAATTAGAACATAAGCTCACTGAGGGCAGGGATTGTTTCATTCTCTGTAGTTATATATCCAATGTCTGGCACAGAGTGTAGGGCATATGGTTTAACAAATGCTTGCTGACTGACTGTCCTCAGAAATCATCCAGTCACAGAGGCAGCTGGTAGCACAGTGGACAGAACGCTGGGCCTGAGTTCAAATCCAGCCTCAGATGCTTACTAGCTGTGTGATCCTGAGCAAGTCACTTAAATGATGTTTGCCTCCCAGTGGGGATGATAACAGCACCTACCTCCTAGGGCTGTTGTGAGAATTAAATGAGATAATATTTGTAAAGCACTTAGCATGCATAATGCCTGGCACACAGTAGGTGCTATATAAATGTTGGCTATTGTTCATAGTATTCTAGATCTAAGACTGCAAAGGAACTCAGAGACCCAGCCCCTTCATTATACAGACAAGGAAACTGAGACCAAGAGAGGATAAGTGACTTACCTAGGGTCACACAGGTGATGACTGGCAGAGCCAGGATCAGAACCTAGGTCTCCTGAGTTAAAATCAAGTATATTGTACACTGATACCATGTTACTCCCTCAACCAAAAATTCAATGAAAATGTATTAAGCATCTCCCACGTGCAAAAGGCAGTTTGCGACAGAGCAGTGGTTGTTAAAGTGTGCCCCAAAACCCCTGGAGGTTCCCAAGATCCTTTCAGGGGGTCCTCAAGGTCCAAACTATTTTCAAAATAACATTAAGATGTTATTTGCCTATAAACGACTCCTCCTTTACCAACCATACACCTGGATGAGGCCAGATTTTCTTCATATACTTCAACTAAAACAACATATCACAACAGAATAAACAAACAGGAGAATCTGCTGTCTTCTATTAGGCCAGATATTAGAGAAATTTGCAAGACTATGTAAAACAATGCCATTCTTTTTTTTTCTTTTTTTTTTTTTTTTGCCTTTTTGGTGAGGCAATCGGGGTTAAGTGACTTGCCCAGGGTCACGCAGCTAATAAATTGCCATTTTTTTCACTAAATTTTTTTTTGTTTTGAAAAATAAAGTTGTTTTTTATAAAAAGTATTATTTATGGTAACATGTAATGGGTTCATTATCTTTTTTTTTAATAGGTATTTAGAGGGGTTTTGGGGAGAGCTCAAGCAAGTCATTGCTTTTACTCTGCCATCTTGGCTCCGCCCCCTGGTTCATTATCTTTAAATGAATATATTTAAAAATTTTATCAGTTTTTAATTTCTAATACAGCAAATATCAATAACCCACATATATAAAAACTCTTTGCAACCCTCAATCATGTTTAAGAATATAAAGGGGTCCTGAGACCAAAAATTTTGAAAACTGCTGGTACAGAGGGAAGAGCACTTGCTTCATAGGACTGAGTGCTCTCGCTTACCAGCTGTGTGGCTCTCCATGACTTCCCTTCTTTGAACCTCAGTTTCCTCATCCGTACAAGTGGGGTTGGACTAGATGACCTCTAAGGTCCTTTCTAATCTCATAATCTTATAAACTCTCTGAGCCTCCAAGGGATGAAGGCTCATCTTGATGGAGAAAGATCTAATACCTGGTGTTCCCCATACTGATAAAAATCAGTACATGTTCTATACGTGCAAAACATTAGTTGTTTTTGTTTTTTTTTAAGATATCGTAGTCTGTGCCCTCAAGGAACCTGCACTCTACTTGGGGGCAGACACACAGATAATTATTATACAAAACAGTGTGACGGAGGCAAGGTAATCCCCATAGTCCTACAGGGAAGAGGGGAAGAAGGAAGGGAATACTATGTGCCAGGCACTGTGCTAAGCTCTTTATGATTTCTCATCTTATTTGAGCTTCACAACAACCCCAGGAGGTAGGTACTATCATTATTCCCATTTTACAGATGGGAGGCAGATAGAGGTGAAGTGACTTGCCCAGGGTCACATAGCTGGGATGTGTCTGAGGCTGGATTTGAATTCTGGTCTTCTTGACTCCAAGGGCAGGTAGGTGGTGCCGTGGATAGAGTGCCTGGCCTACAGTGAGGAAGACTCACATTCCTGAGTGCAAATCCAGCCTCAGACACCTACTAGCCACATCTTGTCAGAGCAGAGAAAGCACTCAGAAGTTTGGGTTGTCCACCATTCACCTCTGATCATCATTTTAGCTATAATTCAATAATATTGCTGCTGGAAGGGGACCCTAGTGAGAGGTCACCTAATTCAACCTCTTCATATATTCATTTTATAACTCATTTGGTAAATTATTTCTCAAACAGTAAATGATAACTTATTTAGTAAATTAGTCCAGGAATTAATGGACACATTAACCAAGTCTAACAGCGTGTTCAATGCTCTACACCCATAGTCTCCCACCTCTAAGAGGTTCATTAAGCCTCAGACAACTCCTCCACCTTCTCTGTTCTTACCTAGGATCCGGATATGAGATGGAAGATGACTATTAATCTTTTCCAAAATGTTGTCAATGAGCCACACCTTCAGGGATACAATCTGGCCAGCAGCAGACACACCCTGGAAAGGAGAAGCCAGTTAGAACAGCTGGGGGTGTGTGTGTGTGTGTAGCAGGACAGTGTTGGAATTCCCATGTAGAATTTGAATTATATAAGAAATCCAAGCTCTACATATCTGGGGGCAGGGACGGGGGAGAGAAACAGAAGTCCACAGGAAGGGCTCCATTTCAGAGTGCCTCAGACAAGAAGATTGAGTACACACAGCCAGAGTCTCAGGCCCAGGGGTGGATTTCCCCTCTAAGAAAAAAAAAGGGAAAGAAAAAACTGGACAAGAATGAAACCGACAGTTATTGCTGTCTCCTTCTCCAAACTGCTGATATGCGCCTATGCCAGATACAAGAGTGACACATGTCTACACATAGTTTGGAAAAGTTAGATACCTTACTTTAACCTGTCTTTTTTATAGGTAAGAAACAGACATGGACTGCACATCTGAAATTCTTTCAGTCTTCCCAGACGACCCGAGTATGGGCAATCCACTAATTTTGAATTTTTTTATTATTATTAATTTATTTATTTTTAGTTTTCAACATCCACTTCCACAAGATTTTGAGTTCCAAATTTTCTCCCCATATCGCCCCTCCCCCCACTCCAAGACAGCATGCATTCTGAATACCCCTTCCCCTAATCTATCCTCCCTTCTATCACCCCCCTCCTTCTCTTATCCCCTTCCCCTTCTATTTTCCTGTAGGGCAAGATAGATTTCTATACCCCATTGCCTGTATATCTTATTTCCCATCTGCATGTGAAAACAATTTTCAACATTTGTTTTTAAAACTTTGGGTTGAAAACTTTCTCCCTTCCTCCCTCCCCATCCACCCTCACTGAGAAGGCAAGCAACTCGATACGGGTTATACATGAATTCATTAATCTTTAAAAAACTGATAAAAAGAATTTATAATCTAAAATGAGATGACTGACTTAGTCAATTAGCTTCTCACTATCATCCTGACAGTTAATTAAAAAGGGACTAGAGGGTTTGGGTTTTTTTAAGTTTAATCAGACCAAAGGTACATAAGGTAATCTGAGGGAGGGAGAAGACAGGGCTGGAGTGCAAGGCTCTCCCAGGCATAGAGCAACTGGCCTAAAGATCAAGCTTTCTTTCGTCTCGTAATTACCCCCACCTTTGTAACCCCATTTTCCAGAGAAACTTGATTAACATAAAAAGTCAAATCTCATTAATTTAAACTGTAATAGCAACTCCCACCTTCCCGGGACTGAAGACCACTACTCCTTTGCCTGGGAACCTGTCTTGTGACATCACAAGTCTTGGCTGTGGCTATTTCAGGGAGAATAAATTTTCCCACTGAAGAAGCATGCTGCCTGCCTCCTGCGAGGTCCCAATCAGTACAAGTGATGAACCCCGTGAAGTGGCCTAGTCCTCCCAGAATGTTTCCAGTGGGCTGGAACCAGGGACCGTGTTTTACATAATTAACTTTGAAGAGTGAGAATCTGAATGCAAGAGACCAATCACGGGATTCATCATTCACACAAATCAGAACCGCACCGTGGTCTCAGATTTTTTTTTTTTTTTGGTGAGGCATTTGGGGTCAAGTGACTTGCCTAGGGTCACACAGCTAGTAAGTGTCAAGTGTTTGGTCTGAGGTCAGATTTGAACTCAGGAACTCCTGACCAGGGCTGGTACTCTATCCACTGAGCCACCTAGTTGCCCCTCTCAGATTTTTTTTTTCAAAGTGTTGATTGACTTTGCCAGAATTTTTTTCCTTTTATTTTTTATTTTTAAATTTTTTGTTTGTGGGAGAGGGGAGATGAGGAGGAGAAATCAAGGTGACATCAATAAAAATCTAATTCTTAAAAACAAGAAAGTTCTTTTAGGAGAAAGGTGGGGAGTCACAGGTGTAGAATGAGGAATAGATTATCAAACATGACCAATGTACGTCTGGTTTTCTCCTAACAGCTAGGCAACGAAGTGAACAGAGTTGTGTGCCAATAGCTTAGAAGATCTGAGTTCAAATTTGACCTCAGACACTTACCAGCTTACCAGCCTCAGATTCTTACCTGTCTGAATAACACCTTTCTTTTATAGAGATAACAATCAGATGTGGGCTGCAAATCTGCAATCCTTTCAGTGTTCCCAAGGGGCCTATATATGTGGCAAGTTGCTTAACCTGTTTGCCTCAGTCTCCTCATCTGTAAAATGGGGATGATACAATAATAGCAACATTGTGCAATGATCGACTTTGATAGACTCAGCTCTTCTCAGCAATACAACGATACGAGACAATTCCAAAAGACTCATGATGGAAAATGCTATCCACATCCAGAGAAAGAACTATGGACTCTGAATGTGATCAAAGCATACTATTTTCTCTTTTTTTTGGTTGTTTTTTCTTTCTCTTGGTTTTTCCCTTTTGTTGTGATTCTTCTTTCACAATACAACTAATGTGGAAATATGTTTAATATGACCATACATGTATAACTTATATCAGAGGGAGGGAGAAAAAAATTTGGAACTCAAAATCGTATAAAAGTGAATGTTGTGGGGCAGCTAGGTGGCCCAGTGGATAGAGCACCAGCCCTGGGTCAGGAGGATCTGAGTTCAAATCCACCCTCAGACCAAACACTTGACACTTACTAGCTGTGTGACTCTGGGCAAGTCACTTAACCCCAACTGCCTCACTAAAAAAAAAAAAAGTGAATATTGAAAAGTATCTTTACATGTAATTGGAAAAAAATAAAATATTATTTTTTTTAAAAATGGGGATGATAACAGCACCTACCTCCCAGCGTTGTTGTGAGGATTAAATGAGATAATATTTGTAAAGCTCTTTGCACAATGCCTGACATATAATAGGCATTACATAAATGTTACCTATTATTATCAACTATATTTGTTACAAGGGAGAGCTTTGGTTGGCAGGGAGGGAAGTGACATGGGTTTTTTTTAAAGAGCATCAGTTTTTTGAAGAAAAGGAGAATACCTTGTCTGTCCGTGCACACCTCTGAAAGGACATTTTCTTCATATCTTCACCATGGTTCTCCGGAATGCAGCCAGACTGAACAAGGGCAGACACCAAGTCATCCTCAATAGTCTTGAACTGGGAGGACCCCAAATTCCTCTGAGAAAGGGAGGGATGTGCTTTATTTTCCACTGCTGATACAAAGCAATACAAGGTAACAGCAATGCGGGGTAAAGGTCCTCCCTCCTCTGAGCTAAAAGATGAAATGAGTGAAGATTGACTATCAAGTCGAATATGGTGAGGGATCACCCACATTTTCCTTAAGTCTGGAGCATAAAAAAGTCTGATAGTGTTTACTTTCAAACTCCCTCAACAAAGACGCCAACTGAAATTCCAAACTCCCAAGGACACCTCAAACCACTTATGGCAAAACCTGCCTAGGGCAGGAGCCCATGAGACCAACCTCAAAGGGGAAGGACTGCCCCCTATTTCTCCAGTTCCAGCAACTTTATCAAATACTCAAGGATCTGCGACTGATTTCATCAGTTTGGGGAACCTACATAAGCCCAACCCTTCTATGCCTCTGCAGATAAGTAGGAGGGAATTCTATGACATGTCAAGGGTCACCAGCTATTAAGTGTTGGGGTTAGGATTTGAACTCAGGGCTGCCTGTCTCTAAAGCACAGCACTTAGAATCACAAAATTTGTGAACTGGAAGGAACTGGCATATGAGATTATTCACATACACATAACGCTTTATATACAATAATATTACAGCTATATTACATATATGACATATATTGTAAGGTGTATGTTTGTGTATATGGACTGGTATAGGAGATATCTATATCCATCTAGGGCAAGCTAGGTGGTACAGTGGATAGAGCATACCGGCCCTGGAGTCAGGAAGACCTGAGTTCAAATCCAACCTCAGATACTGACTAGCTGTGTGACCTTGGGCAAGTCACTTAACCTTGTTTGCCTTGGTTTCCTCATCTGTCAAATGAGTTGGAGAAGGAAATGGTAAACCATTGTAGTGTCTTTGCCAAGAAAACCCCAAATAGGGTCACGGAGAGTTGGACATGACTGAAACAACTCAACCACAACATATCTATATATCTGGATATATTTTAATATTTAATATGTCGAATATTTAATGTAACAGAATGGATATTTTTAATATTTATGCTATATCAATATGTATATATAGGGACTGGTGTATGAGATATGCATCTAGATATTATATATATTATACAATAAAATATAAAATAAAATATTTCACACACCATGTATTGTGGGATAGAAATGAATAGAGGTAGACTGAGGTTCAAAATTTCTGAATTTTATCAATTTATTAACAAAGTCAGCAGAAATGACTACCTCAGCTCAACCAAATGACCTCCCAGTGAGGGAAGAGCAGGTCTTTTAATCCCAGGCATGACTTCCTTCTGATGGGCCTGAAAGTCCATCATCTGGACCTCCCCCGACAAATCCGGATCAGCAAACATCTTAATGAGCGTCACCTCGGCTCCTCCCCATTCATAAAATGGGAAGAATCCTCAGATAACAGGACTGTGCAGCAGTTTAGGATGAATCAACAAGAATTTGGGTTGAGCAGATGGTGGGTGAGGTTACCAGGGTGGAGATAAAAATTACAGTAACGGAACAGAGACTCAAAGGCCGCCCCCTCCCCCCCAGCTCCCAGAGGAAAGGGTGGAGGTAATTACAAGACAAACGCCTGACCTTCAGGCAAGTTTCTCCGGAACAGGAGGTAAAGGGCGAAGTTAAAAGGGGATAAGGACTTTAGACTCACAGATAGAGGGAGAGGATATTCTGGCTTGCTTAAGTCTTAAAAATAGAATTAAAATCAATTTATAATTTTACATTATACCAGATGATGCTATATTATATTATATTATAAATGTGATATTAATAATACACTATATATTACATTATCAATATAGAGTATGTGTAATATTATATAATGAAAACACCAAATAGGGTAATGAAGAGTAGGACGCAACTGAACAATATTATATATATATACATATAGATAATGTAAGTTATGTATCATATTTCTAGATAGAGATCTCATATATCTACATGTGTGTGCATGTATGTGTATGTGAGAACCTTAGAACCATGTGTGGCACATTTTTGGTGTTCAGTTGGTTCAGTCATATGTGACCCTTTGTGACTGTAGGGTTTTCTTGGCAAAGTGGTTTGCCATTTCCTTCTGCAGCCCTCCACCAATGCAGATTGCAACCCCTCCATGCCTCAAGGGTCTCTGACCATTTGCTGAAGACATTCCTCACCTGATGGTTAACACCGGGTCACAAGCCTCTCTGCATCCTCAAAGGACCCACCATGCAAGGCCAGGGCTCCAGATCACTCCAGCCCAATGGGACCTCTGGTAGGTCCTACCTCCGATATGAGGCTGGCACTGCCTCCTCAAGGCCCCCCAAGGTCACCTCCAGGCTGTGGTGAGGCATCTCACACAGTCCTACACAGAACCTCAGGGTCGAAGAAGACCTGAGAGGCCGTACAGCCTCAACCAGATTCCCATCGGCAGCCTAACCCCAAAGTGACCATCGAGCCCCTGCTCATACTGTTGGGGAGTGTCTGGGGAGGCAGGGAGAGAGAAGGGCAAGTATGCAGTGGGAGGGAGCCTAATCGTTAGGAAGTTTTTCCACTATCCCCTCAAAGATAAATCTGCCTCTTTGCAATTTCCACTCCTTGAATCTAGTTCTGCCCTCTGGTTGTCCATGTAATAAGGCAAGGATATGTGACTCCATCTATGTAGCCATTCCCTTTACCAATACAGATAGCCACCCCTCTACGCCTTAGGACAAGGGTTCTTCCCTGGCATCCATGCACATGGATTCCTCTGGACTCTCTCTCCCAAGGCCACAGCAATCGTCTCACCCTAAAAGTTCTTCACTCTGCCCCAGCAGCCCTTTCCATTGACCAACTGGTTCCTCCCAGAACCTCCATCCTTTGGGAAGTACCCAGGGCAGGTGAGCCATGTCTTCATTCCTCTTGACTTTCTGGGCTTTCTTCACTATGCCCCGACTCAGAGACTACTTCTTCAGCTCCCTTTAATATGCTGTCTGCCCCCATTCGATTATAAGCTCCTTGAGGTCAGGGAGTCTTTCTGCCTGGCCTTGGCAAGGCGTCTGGCACTTAAGTGAGCCCTTAACAAAAGCTTCTTGACTTAACTTTAACACACTGACTGATCATTCTATTTCAACCTAACTGGTTTCCTTTGCATCCTATGTATTTTATTTGATGCATTTAAAGACCTTATTGTGAGAAGGAGCCCACAGGCTTCTCATCTTCTACAGCAGGCCTTTCTCAACCCCTTCTTTCTTTCCTTTTTTCTCAACTGCCTTCCTTCTTTTAATTATTTCCTATTTATCTTTTATGGAACTTGTTTGTACATAGCTGTTTGTATGTAGTCTTCCCCCATTGGACTGTAAGCTCCTTGAGGGCAGGCACTGTCTTTTGCCTCTCTTTGTAGCCCCAGCACTTAGCACAGTGCCTGGCGAAATAAATTAATGACTGAGTGATTGCTTCCTCTGCCTATCCATCTGGCACACAGGGTCCAGAGGGCAAAAAAAGATTAAGAAGCATTGCTTTGGGGCAGCGAGGTGATACAGTGGATAAGGCACAGGCTCTGGAGTGAGACACTCCTGGGGTCTGTGTGACCCCAGGCAAGAAGAGGACAAAGGAGAAGGAAAAGGAGAAGCATAGGAAGGGGAGGAAGGAGAAGAAGGAGGAGGAGAAGGAAGGAGGAGGAAAGAGAAGGAGAAAAAGGAAGAGAAGAAGGAGAAGAGGAAGGAAGAGAAGAAGGAGAAGAGGAAGGAAGAGAAGGAGGATAGGAAGGGGAGGAAGAAGGAGGAAAGAGAAGAAGGAGAAAAATAAGGAGAAGGAAGAGAAGAAAGAGAAGAAGGAGGAGAAGGAGAAGAGGAAGGAAGAGAAGGAGGAGAAGGAGAAGAAGGAGAAGCAGCGGCATTGCTTAGAAGATGACCTTTGGCCGTCTGGTAACACATTCAATCCCTCTCCAAAGTAAGTCTCCTCCAAATAACTGGAGACAAACATCATCTCATATTCCTTACTCCTCCTCGTAGTTTTATCTGCTCTAGTCTAAACATCCCTATTGGAGTAAGACTTTCTAACATTTTTTTTTTAGCTAGGCAACTGGGGTTAAGTGACTTGCCCAGGGTCACACAGCTAGTAAGTGTCAAGTGTCTGAGGCCTGATTTGAACTCAGGTCCTCCTGACTCCACGGCCCGTGCTCCATCCACTGCGCCACCTAGCTGCCCTTTAACATTTTCTTCAAAAATTTTTTTTTGTTTACACATTTTTTAAACATTTTTTGACAGATCTGTGATTTACTGGGATGGGGAGCTCACAGGAAGAGAGTCCATACCAAAACAGGTCAGCACCTTCTCACCCGGGCCGGCGAGAGGCCCAGTGACTTGCCCGCGATTGCGCGGCCAGGTGTGGCCTCTCTGAGGCCAGCTCTAGACAGTACCTCCCTGCCTTTCGGAAGTATCAACCCACGGCGATGAGGCAGCAGAGCCATCCCCACGCAGGAGGCGGCCAGGAGCCTGTTCACACACCTGCATCCCGTGGTAGCCTTTCCCAGAATAGGCCATCAGCAGCACAATCTTCCTCTTGGGGAGTTTTTTACTGTGCTCCTCCTCTTCCTCGCTGTTCTTCAGCCTCTTGGCTCGGGGTTCCGTTTCCTCCCACTTCTTCAGCTCCCGGTCCTTGCTTCCCCTAACCTTGTTCCCCGGGGCCTCGCTGGCCACAGACGCAGGCTCGGCCTTCCCAGGCACAGCCTCCAGGTGCTCAGCCATGAGGGTCCGTCTGAAAAGAACCAAGAGAAGGGAGTTAGGAGTGACTGGATGGAGGCATCTGTAGGAATGGTAAAGGGGCAAGGGCAATGCTGGAGGCGGCACGGCCCGCTCGCTACCTGAGGCAGCGTAGATCAGAGCGCAGCAGAGGCAGCGTGGGGTGAGTCCTGCAGGCGGTTTGCTGGGCTACAGCCTCGAGCTTCAAAAGGGAAGCTCCCATGGAGAGGAGACGGGGCCACACTCCTGGCTCTGGGTACCTCGGGCACCAGCTACAAGGGCACAGGGAGAGGGAAAGAAATCAGTCAACCAGCGTTTGTTTGACACCTACTGTGTGCCAGGCACTGCAAGTGCTAAGCACTGGGGATAGAAAAGCAAAGGCAAGAAGGAAAAGGCAGCCCCAGCTCTTGAGAAGCCCCCAGTCTAGTGTGGGAGCCAATGCGCAAATAATTACAGACAACAATCTATAAACAGGATGAAATGGAGATAATCTCTGAGGGAAGGTGCCAAGATTAAAAAGGATGGGGAAAGGCTTCCTGCAGAAGGTGGCATCTTAGCTGAGATTTAAAGGAAGCCAGGGAAGTCAAACAATCAATTAATCAATCAATCAACACCTATGAAGCACCTACTATGTGCCAGGCACTGGAAGCCAAGAGGCAGAGACGAGGAGGGAGGGCATCCAGGCACAAGGGACAGCAGGGGAAATGCTCACTAGAGCTGGAGGATCCTCTGTGGAACAGCCAGGTGGTCAAAGCCCTGGATCCAAGAGCTATGTCCTGGCCCCGGGGAGCATTAGTAACTGCAGACAGCAGTCTGGGGGTAGGAGGAGTCAGAGGCCAGCAGTGGGGAGGTAAGAAGAGAGTGGGAGGAAAGGAGGAGCAAGGGTAGCCTTGGCAAGAAGCTTTGCTAATTGGTGTCCCTGCTCCCAGTGCCTGTCATCTCTCCAATCCACCCTCCACCAAGCAGCCGAGACAGAGGGAGAGAGAAAGGAAGAGAGGGAGGGAGGGGGAAAGAAAAGGGAGAGGAGAGGGAAAGGAAAAGGGAGGGGAGAGGGAGAGAGAGAGAGAAGAGGAGAGGAGAGAGAGAGACAGAGAGAGGAAGGGAGGAAGGAAGGGAGGGGAGAGGGAAAGGAGGAAGAGAGAAAGAGACGTATATGTCTATGTGTGTATGAACACACACATATATGCACGCGTGCACATGCACACATACATATCAGTGAGACACTTTATTACGTGTGTATATACACACGGGCCACTTTATGTGCATGTATACACGTGTGTACATATACATGCATGCACATACAACACATAAGTATATATGTACACATATAAATGTTTAATGTAAATGTTTATAAATAAGATGCATATAATTGCTTACTCTGTGTGTGTGTGTACTCAGACCTGTGCTTCAAAGGGATATACATGTGTGTACACACACACACACAGTAACATTCAAGCACAGGTCTGAGTGTATTTATTGGATGGATAGACAGACAGTCAGAAAGACATGTAGGTAGGTAGATGGATATCCTTAAAGCATGGGTATGAATCTATTTATTAGGTAGACAGATTATAGATGGTTGGACAGACATCTAGGTACGTAGATAGATATCCTTAAAGCACAGGTCTGAGTCTATTTATTTATTTAGTTCTGCTGGGCAATGGGGTTAAGTGACTTGCCCAGGGTCACACAGCTGGTAAGTTTCAAGTGTCTGAGGCCATATTTGAACTCAGGTCCTCCCGATTCCAAGGCCAGAGCTCTATCTACTACGCCACCTAGCTACTTTGGTAGATATTCTTAAAGCACAGGTCTGAGTCTATTTATTAGAGAGATGATGGATGGATAGATATGTATGGAGGTAGGCAGGTATCCTTAAAGCCCAGGTCTGAGTATGTCTCTTCCCCAAATTGCCCCTAGGATAAAATGCAAACTCCTCTGACATTTACAGGTCTTTACTCTCTGGTCCTAACCTGTCTTTCCAGAATTATTACACATCCTCATCCTCCTCCTCCTCCTCTCTCCTCCACTCACTCAAGAATCCCACAAATGAGCTTCCTCGCTGCTCTGGGCTCCACATCCCATTCCTGGCCTCTTAGAATCCTTGGGTCCCAGGAAGGTGCAGTTTAAGGGACCTTTGTGAACAAGGACTTTGCTACTCTGCCCAATCTCTAGCTCTTGGTCCAACGAAGTAAACTGCTTTGTGTACAGTATTTAATTATCTTTGTCTAAGTGGTCTCCCCCATTCACTTAAGCTTCTTGATGACAGAGATAATTTTCATTTCTGTCTTGGTATCCCCAGCACCTACCATGGTAGCAAGTTAAGTTAACCTCCCTGGGGCCTCAGTTTCCTCGTCTGTAAAAGGATGAAGTTGAATCAGACAGGTAGCGGGTTCAATAAATGCTCATGGAATTGTATCTGCTGACATACTCAACCCCATCCCCTCATGACTTCAGCTTCTGACATGAACATCCCCACCACACCAGCATCCCAGTAAACCCAGATCCACCCCACCCCACCCTTCCCAGCCCCCATAAGAAGGGATGCAGTGGATAGAGGACTGGACTTGGGAGTCAGAATGACCCTGGTTCAGATCTCAACTCAAAACACTTACTGGTTGTGTGATCTTCAGCAAATCACTTAACCTCCATGAGCCTCAGTTTCCCCATCTGTAAAATGGGAGTAACAGTACCTACTTCCCAAAATTGTTGTATCAGTATCAGTTAATATATGTAAATAAATGCCAGCTGTTGTTATTACAATTATTATTAGAATCTTTACATGTCCTGAACCCCTCTAGAAATGCTTTTTTAAAAAACAAGGGATTACCAAGGTAACCAATGATGCTGAAATGCAATTATCTAAATAGATATATACGTATATGTATGTATGTATGTATGTGTGTGTATATGTTAATAAACCCCTGATCTAGAAGATACATCAGGAGTATTTATTAATCACTTACTGTCTACTGAAAACACATTTATTAAGTACTTACAACCTAGGGAGCAGGGTTTAATCGCTTACTGTGTGCTGGAGCATTTACTGCCTAGGGAAAAGCAATAATTAATCCCTTACTGTGTACTGGACCTTCCTGACCCCATTTGGGGCCAAGACACTGCCTTCTCCAGCCCATTTTACAGATGAAGCAACTGAGGCAAACAGGGTTAAGGCACTTAAGTGACTCCAGGCCTGGCGTATAGCGCCACCTAGCGGCGTCCTGGAAGAGCACTTATGAAGTGCTTACTGCCTAGGAAGAAGCAAGGATTGGTCGCTCACCGTATGCTGGCCACGGGTGTACAATGAAAAGTGGCATTGACAAAGGGTTTAATACACGACGTCCCCAACTTGGGGGTGCTATGACCGTCACAACCTCATTTTACAAACGGAGATCACCCGCCGCCAGGACTCGAACCCGGATCTTCGGCACCCCAGGCGGGCGCGCTCCCCGCTATGCCACGGAGCAGCACGCGGAGCCCGCCAGTGGCCCCGGCGGCATCCAGGGTCCGGCTCCCCCACCCACCCCCACCCCGGCAGCCCCTCGCGGCGTCTGCTCACCCACCCCTCCCCCCACCCTCCCTCCACCCTCCCCGCGCCTCTCGCTCCGCGCGCAACCACCCCCTCCGCCCCCGCCCGCGCAGCCACGTGCGCCCCTCCGCGGCCCCCACCGCCCCGTACCCCCCGCCCCCGCCCCACTTACGGAGCTGCGCGCGCGCCGAGCGGGTCACGACCACGTGGGCGCCCAGACGTCCCGGGAGCGCGCATGGAGGGGCAGGGCCTGACGAGGGAGGCGGCGGAGGCCGGGCAGGGACAATATTATCAAAAAGCGCTGCATTGGTGGAATAGGAATAAAAAAGAGAGAAGAGGGAGGGATTCTACGGAATTGCAAGAAGCTTATTTTTCAAATGAGGAAACTGAGACCCAGAGAGGAGAAGTAATTCTCCCGATAATAATAATATTATTATCACCAGTAATAATAACAGCAGTCATTTCTATCGTACTCTAAGATTTTCAATGATCTCATTTGATCCTCAAAACAACGCTGCGACTAAGGCATTATTATACCCATTTTACAGATGAGGAAACTGAGATCCAGAGAAGCTGAGAATTCAGGCTGTCAGCCTTTTTAAAATGCATGCTGTGTGACAAGCACTAGGCTAAGGTAAAAGGCAGACCCTGCCTTCAGGGAGTTTGCATTCCAATGAAAGAATGAACAAGTTCTAGGTCCAAACAAGATACAAAGAAGAAATATACTGAGCAGGTGCAAGGTCATCTCCGAAGTAAAGGCACTGGCCACTAGGGGGCGCCATAGTGCACAGAGCACTGGCTCAGGAGTCAGGAAGAGCTGAGTTCCGAAGTGATCTCTGATGCTCAGTCTAGCTGTCACCTTGGACAGCTCACTTAACCTCTGTCCTCCACTCTAAAGTGGGAACAGTTTTTATTGCTTGTTATTCAATCGTGTCCAACTCTTCGTGATCCCATGGACACTTTACATTAGGAGACCCACTGTGAACTGCAAAGATGTGGCATCACCCATCACAAGGGCCAGACTGTGAGCCTTTGAGACTCAGCCTGTCTAAAGAAGGAAGGAAAGGCTTAAGGAGTTCACATTTTCTCCCTTTTTCCTACCATAGTACTACCCATAACAGGAGGACTATTTAATTACTTAAATGATGGAAAGTTCTGTATAAAATCATTAGGACTTGCCACCAAGGGGTAGTATGTAGTAGGAAGAAGTTTCCTGACACAGCTTCCTCCCCATACCTCTCACACACACACAACTTCCTTTAACCCAGTTTCCTTAGCAGCTTCCCTAATGAAACTTGCATTCCCCATGAAACCTGATTGGCCCTAACTTTTTTGACTCAGAAAAGGCCTCTTGGACATCTCAACCTGGATATCCAGAAGATATCTTCAGTCTTCCTGGCTTCAAAGCCTGCTCTTTATTCATTGTACATTGCCTCTCTGGCATTCATATTGCACGTAATGAGTTAAGTTATAATTTCTTTTGTTGTGTGAATAAAGATAGGGTCTTTTGTGATTGAGTATTCAGTAAGTGAAGAAAGAAGGAAAGAAAGAAAAAAAAAGAGACAGGGAGGAAAAAAGGAAGGGAGGGAAGGATGAAGAGAGAGAAAAGAAAGAAAGAAAAAGGAAGGAAGGAAGAGGAGAGAGGAAAGAAGGAAGAAAAGAAGAGAGGGAGGGAAGAAACAAACAAAAGAAAGAAAAAAGAAAGGAGACAGAGATAGTGCCCTAATGAAATATGCTACCTGTGACTATGGGGTTGGCAAAAATCATAACAATCTAGCACAAATTTAACCCTGAAGCAGCTGTGAGATGGGCTTAGAGTGTTAGACAGGATGTCAAAGAACCTGGGTACTCAAATCCTGGCCCTTGGGTAAATCACATCATGACTCTGGGCCTCAGTTTCCTCATCTATAAAATTAAGGGGGTAATTTCTAAAGTTTTCTCTAGCATTCAGTCTGTCATCCTAATAAATCCCTCATTTTGACAAGGAGGAAACTGAGGCAAACAGAAGTGAAAGGACTTACCCAGGGTAACATAGCTAATAAGTGACGGGCAGGATTTGAATCCTGGCCTTCTGACTGTCATTCCAGTGCCCTTCCTACATTACAGCCTGCCTCTCAATGAAAGAAAATTAGAACCTCATAGTGAGAGGATTCAGTTACCAACTTTGCATTCACCAAGTGTCTGACCTTAATTAGGTAAACCACTTAACCTCAACTGAGGGCCATACTTTCCCCTTTCTTTAAAAAGGGAGTTTCTGCTAAATCAGCTTTAGATATATCACAAAATTCTCAAGTCAAGACAGAAGGGCATTCCGTGACCAATGCTCCCATCCTGGTCCAGCCCTAGCTACCACTCCAGGATTCCAGGGGAACTAAGCTGTGCCCATTTCCCACTGCTAGGATAAAGGGATGTGGATGGTGACATGCCACCACCTCAACACCTCCTTTCAGGACCCTGTAGAGATAGTCCAGAACCCTATGCCCAAGGACCCCAGGAATAGCAGCAGCCACCAGACTGCCAGCCCTGTGTCCAATCCAGGCCTCACAGTCATTCAATACATAAGGAAGTAAACCTTGTGGAAATGTGATCTGGGAACTGTGTCTACAAATGCTACCCCACCCAGTGGGCACAACTGTTGAAGAGCCAGAAAAGAAGCTTCTTGACACCAAAGCCCTCGGCACTGTCACATGGTTTAGCAGCAGAAATAGGTATGGTTTTATGAGTGAAAATGACAGGAAAGAAGATGCCTGATCATCAGCCTTGGTGCTGTGTCTGAGGACTTCTGTCTTACATGGGGCCTCTCCCTCTGACTTACAGCTGAACCCTTCCACATGTGATGTCTGCTCCACTCTGAGCTCCTTGACAGCAGAGACTGTCTGACTTTTCTATTTGTCATTGTTATCCAGCTAATTCTATTTTCCAGTCTTTTTACACCTTACAAGCCCCCTGTACTCTTGAGATCCTGGGGCAGCTAGGTGGCACAGTGGATAGAGTACTGGGCCTGTAGTTAGAAAGACATGTTCCTGAGTTCAAACCTGGCCTCAGACAGTTACTAGCTGTGTGACCCTGGGTAAGTCACTTCACCCTGTTTGCCTAAGTTTCCTCATCTGTCAAATGAGCTGGAGAAAGAAATGGCAAACCACTTCAGTATCATTGCCAAGAAAACCCCAAGTGGGGTCCTTGAGAGTCAGATTCAACTGAATAACAGTAAGGTGCTATAATAATCCCCAACCACAAAAATGGGGATAAATTGTTGTAGTTTCATCATTTTCAATCATGTCCAACTCTCTACGACCTTCCTTCCTTCTCTCCTTTTCTCCCTCATTTCTTTCTTCCTTTCTTTTCTTTTAAATTATTTTTACTTACTTCATCAAATATTTCTCAATTACATGCAGAAACATTTTTAACAATCATTTTTAAAAAGTTTGAGCTCCAAATTCTTTCCATCCCACTTCTCTCCTCTCCTTGAGAAGGCAAGCAATTTGATATCAATTATACATGTGAAAAAACTTCTGACTTACTTTAAAAATATATAATTCAGGTTTTTCCACTAAATCAGATCTGCTCTTCACTATAATTAGTAGGGTTTATATGTCTTTTTAAAAATTCTGACCCATTTGATCAATAGACATTCATTGGAAGGAAGGAAGGAAAAAAGGAAGGAAGGAAGGAAAAAAGGAAGGAAGGAAGGAAAAAAGGAAGGAGGAAAAAAGGAAGGAAAGAAGGAAAAAAGGAAGGAAGGAGGAAAGGAAGTCAGAAGTTTTAAATGGGTAAAATCATAGGCTGTATGACCTTGGGTAAATCACTTAACCTTGTAGTGCTCCAGGCAGCTTTCTAAGAATGTATATATTACAGAGCAGGTACCATCTGACTTTCGTAGAGGGGATTTCTGCATCAGGAATTCCCTATATTGATATTTTAATAGCCTCTACCTGCACTATTTAATTTTCAAAATAATATTTTATTTTCCCCAATTACATGTTAAAACATTTTTTAACATTAGTTGTAAGTTTTGAGTTTCCCTCCCTCCCCTCCTCCCTCTCTGAGATGGTAAGCAATCAGATACAGGTTATACATGTGTAATCATGTAAAACGTTTCCATTTTAGTCATTTTGTACAGGAAGACTCGAATAAAAAAAAAAGAAAGAAAATAAAAAATAGTATGCTTCAGTCTGCATTGACTCAGTTTTTTCTCTGGAGATAGATAGCATGTTTCATCATGAGTCCTTTGGGATTGTCTTGGATCATTGTATTGCTGAGAATGGCTAAGTTATTCACAACTGATCATCATTACAATATTGCTGTTACTGTGTACAACATTCTCTTGGCTCTGCTCACTTCATTCTACATCAATTTATATGTCTTTCCAGGTTTTTCTGAAATATTCCTGCTTGTCATTACAGCCCAATAATACTCCATCACAATTATATACTTGTTCAACCATTCCCCAATTGATGGGCATCCCCTCAATTTCGAATTCTTAGCCACTACAAAAAGAGCTGCTATAAATATCTTTGTACAAACAGGTCCTTTTCCCTTTCCTTTGATCTCCTTGGGATATAGACCCAGCAGTGGTATTTCTGGATCAAAGAGTATGCACAGTTTTATAGCCCTTTGGGTATAGTTCCAAATTGCTCTCCAGAATGATTGGATCAGTACACAACTTTACCAGTGATGAATTGGTGTCTCCATTTTCCTACATCCCCTCCAACATTTATCATTTTCCTTTTTTGCCATATTAGCCAATCTGCCTGTACTATTTAAAGCACTTTATAACCCATTCCCTCCTACTTTAACAATCTTTCCTTTTTTTTTTTTAGGCAATTGGGGTTAAATGACTTGCCCAGGGTCACACAGCTAGTAAGTGTCAAGTGTTTGGTCTGAGGCCAGATTTGAACTCAGGTCCTCCTGACTTCAGGGCTCTATCCACTGTGCCACCTAGCTGCCCCGCTTAACAATCTTCTTGCACTTCCCTTCCCTCCATGCTCTTTAGGATCTACCAACACTTAACCTCCTTGCTGTTGGTGAGGCAAGATACTCTATCTCCCAACCCTGGGCATTTTCTCTGGTTGTACCTTATGCCTTGCATGCTCTTCCTCTTCATCTCCATCTACTGGCTTTTCTAGTTTCCTTCAAAACCCAGCTAAATCCCCACCTTCTACAAGAAGCCTTTTCCAGTTCTCCTTAATCTTAGCGCTTTCCCTCTGAGGTTATCTCCAATTTACCATTTATACACC